GTTCAGCAGAATTTCCTTACAAGTAGTCAATTTAAAGTCTCCAGGCTGGCAGTCAGCTTACTTCTAACAGACTCTAAACCCTGTATGGATTTTTGATATTTCACATAAAGCTAACACTGTCCACGGGTAACTGGAAGAACTCAATCATCAGACCAAAGAGAGGACGTCACCACTCCTGCAGGGAGCCCAGGGCCCACGGCAGGTGCATTGGATGCATTTTTAATGCAGGACAACTGGGCCAGGAGAAGCCTGGATGGCTGGTCGGGAAGACACGTGGCCCAGAAGAGCATTTCTGGCAGACATGTGAATCTGAAAGGGCAGGCTTGTCACAATTTTTATATCTTTCAAACGGGTTGCCCATTCAGTATTATGGATTTAACATCATATGTTAAGGATTATGATTTAACATCATAAATTTAACATCATAAATGTCACAGCATCTGCATTATGATTTTGAATTTACAATTATTCTGACTTTACAAAGTAAAATTTAGAAGTGAAACATATTGAACTGCAGACCTTAGCTGGTTAAAAATACATCTCATTTAATTTTTGTCTCATTTTATACAAATGATCATCAGTATGTGAAAACAGCTTCTTCAGCGGAATTAACCACACGCGTTCAAAGAGTTATTTTACAGCACATTTCAGGCAAGGGTAAATTAACTCCAAGTTCACACAAAAAGTAGGTTCTCAAATTGTGGGCCAAACCACAAGAAGCAGTGGGTTTGCCTTACTCCCACTGAAGTCAAAGGAATCGCAGGTGCTGCCATGCCCCTTTACTGACCAACAGGCCCACAGTCACGCCTTACGTGATCCTCATCTCCCAGGCAGTTTGGAAATGCAGATGTTAACTACTGTTTTGAAGAGAGCATAAACGGCAGCCTTTAACATGCATCCTGCAGATCCTTTAAAAGCAAGATCACCCAAGATCGTTTGCACTGATGAGACAGCTTAAAATGAACTACAGGGAAGGAATAGCTAGCAGGCCCTCAGACAGGACTTAGAAATGTGCCACCATGAGAAAACCAGGCTTAAAGAAACCTCTGAGAGAGCAGCTGGCAAAACTACACGGTTGTACAATTCAGTCTTACCAAACCTTTAGTCACGTGAGCCCTACCACCGTGAGTGGATTATGAGCTACCTAGCCTTTAAAGGGTCCTTGCTCAGGTGATTAAGGGCTTGCAAGAGCAGGTCCATACCTTGCAAGTCCTGCACTTGGAAACACGTCGCACCTTCGAGCCACAAGGTATAATTTAAAAGGCTTCTAATTGTGGGGGATGATGCAGAGCCCGCCGCACGTGGCAGTGCTGCTCGGTGTCAAACACCACAGTGCTGCTCTTTGGAGCGAGCCCCAGTTTCGGACAGACAGTGTTTTGAACATTTCCAAGCACAGTATTTCTTTTTCCCAAGGAAAGGAAAACAGCATTTTACAAATCCCCCGAGTGTCATTTCTGGATCAAGCCATGCACGCTGAGGCTTGTCTTGGCCTCCCTTTCTTACCTGTGAAACAAACAGGGCATTTGAATGTGCCTCCCATCCCCTCAAAGCTGTGCTCAATCAGGTGACACAGGAGCTTTGCCGGAGAGTCAAACATCTGGTTACACAGCTTGCACTCATGATTGATGCCTTCCTCTGCAAGGTTCAAATGATACAACTTGTTAGTGACACAGCAGATTAGCGTCGGGGATGCAGCGGTCGGCAAGAAACGCCTGAGCCGTCGCGCACGACTTCAAGGACCCGCAGACGTTGCCGTGGTGCCGGCCGTATCAGGAAAGCGGGCCGAGCCGCTCGTGCGAGGCGTTCAGGTGTACAGCCCCCAGTCAAATTTAGGGGCGTTGATTTTCAGCTGCTGCCACGGTTTAACCCCAGCTGACAAACTGCGTACCACACAGCCGCCCACTCACTCGCTCCCGCCCCCGCGGTGGGATGGGGAGACAAACGAGGAAAAAAACCCAGTAAAACTCATCGGTTGAGATCAAGACAGCATAATAGGACAGAAAAAAGAAGGGAACAATAATAATAAAGGAATATACAAAACAAGTGACGCACAATACAATTGCTCACCACCCGCTGACCGATGCCCAGCCAAGTCTCCCCGTACGTACGCTGAGCATGCCGCGTTACGGCAGGGAACGGGTCAGCTGTCCTGGCTGTGCCCCCCCGGCAGGGCACGGGAAGCTGAAAAGTCCTTGACTTAGTATAGCCACAACTAAAACGTCAGTGTGTTATCAACATTATTCTCATACAAATCCAAAACACAGCACTATACCAGCTACTAGGAAGAAAATTAACTCTATCCCAGCCGAAACGGGGACAGCTGCGATGAAAGCGGAGCTGCGATCGACCCGCCGGGAACCCACGCGCCCGCTCCCAGGCTCGTGACAACACCGCACCGCTCCACCTCGCATCCTACCACAAAGGGAGAGCATCCCCGCTCTGGGTATAGATTATTAAATAGACAAGCAGCATTTAAAATGAATTTAACAGTGTGAATTCAACCAACAACACTGAAAGTGGGCTGAAATGCCACCTTCACCTTAGATTACACTGCAAATATACAGGAGAGGAAGGAACTTTCACAGGGTAGCAGTGTCAGCCTTAATTTTATATCTCTTGGCTTTTCCCAAGCTGAAGAGAACACTGAAGGTATTTAAATGTCATTTGAAAGTGTAATTTCTGTGTCATATATCTTAAGCACTGAATACACAGGGCTCGCTTTAAATGCCCCTATGTTCTAGCTGAACTCATAGGGCAATAATAATAATTATTACTACTGTTTCAAGCCTACCACTTCTGTAAGACGATATGTTTCTTTATTTACTGACATTTGTGGGTTTGGGTGCAGTTGGGCCTTTTTGAGGTACTGAAACCATAGTAAAGCGATTTCCACACATAATATGAAACAATCCTTTAGTTTTCTTCAAGTGAAGGAGTGGTAGAAATTTAGACAACAATGTACAGTTTATATAAATAAGAAAACACCTAAAAGTTAAAAATTTTGCTGATTGTTTTTGTGAATACTTCCTGAAAATGTGTGTCTCCATTGTGGCAGCACATATGAACTTCTCATGAAAATATATTTTAAAAACTAAAGAAACTCTTTTGATGTACAGTCGACTATTTTTCTATCTTTAAATCTCACCAACTGCAATTTTTAGTTCCAAGACACCTAAGAAATGACTACATTATACCATGACCTAGTCTCTTGCCAAATGCATTTTGATCTTGTGAATAATGCGAGCCTTCAGAAGCACGATTTTTACTTACAGTAGCTTTAAGTTAGTTTTTTAAATCTCTTTAAAAGGGCTAAACAGAAGGAAATTATTATTTTCTCTAAGGCCTTTGGTACTCTCAGTGTCCCAAAGCCCTTTTACAAGGTGGGGAGTTAGGAGCCAGGGCAGGCAAGCAGCAGGGCTCTGCGCGGGACGCCGGCATAGCCTGTGCCCGGGCAGGTGGTGGCTCTCGCATGTTTGCGCCGTGGCACGTTTGCAGCTGGAGGCAATTCCCAGAGCACGACGGCCTTGAAGGGCCCTCCACGCAGCATGAAAAATAACAATAATTAAAAAAGAAAAATCATGCAGCACCTTGCGCAGTGGCACGTGCCGGCGGCGAGCTGCCTGTGCCGCCTCGAGGCCGGGTGGGCGCTGGGTGCTCTGCCCTGCACAGCAGCGGTGGCACCGGAGCTGCGGTGGGGAGAAGTAAACAGGTGGGCAGGGAAGGAGGTAAAAAGAGAAAAGGAAAGGGAGGAAAGAGTCAGGAACAGAAAGATGGAAGGGCTGGTGGCTCCACGGCAGCAGCTCCCAAATTCCCCAGGGCAGCCATAACCAGGGACTGGGATATTTCTAGGACACAACGAGGTTTGCAATTCTGTTTGGGCAGCCACCGCAGCGGGCGCATCACCCTCTCTGAAGGATGGCTTTCACAACCTGACTCTCTCCCCTCGCTGTAGCGTAAGGACGGCTTCTTGCATCAGACCCTTGCCTGAAAAGTTTTGGCTCTGTGCAATCTTTGCAATCTGCTCCAGAGGGGAGGAAAGATGGGGAAGGGATACGTGCCTTGTGCTGAGCGTCCTGAGCATGCCCAGCCACATGGCTGCGTACAGCAACTGAACGCTGCAATAAACCTGGAGAGGACAAAGCAGGTACTGGGGGGAATGGAACAAATTCCTTCTACGAGTATATCAGAGAAATCATGTTTGACATTAATTTTCTACCCTCCACATCCTGGGTATTTGGAAAACAGTGATTCATGTACAGCCTATAGTCCTGTGTGAGCACGTGTGTTCATAAATACGGACAGACACACACTTCTGATTAGACAACTGCTCCTTTTGCTGCCTAAATACCTATAATTTCAGGAAAATTGAAAAAAACACAAACACCGCTCAGCATTTCAATTGAAGTATATTCTTACAAGCTTGGTATGTTTAATTAGGTAACAGAGATTGTGTATTTTCTTGGCTGATCCCTGCAGTATTTTAAATAGTTAAACCCATAACAAACAAACTAAAACTCGAATGAAAAATAATAAAACATAATGGGTTCCTGCAGATCTGGAAATTTATCCCACTCGAGGCAAGACCTTTTGATTTGCAAATCCACTTCTGAATTATAAGGCCTTCTCCTCACCGGTGGGGGTTTTTATTCCACTCCCACAGGAGTCCATTATGTATTTCTTCTGTCTATAAAACCATCCAGGAAGAAAAAAGGGGGGAAAAAGTACCATGGTTAGCATGACAAACGTTTCTCTTTTCATGCATGTGTATTCAAAATATGAAAATGCCCAAAGATATAGATAGAATTGCTGCTATAATCACTCTCTCCTCTATGGCATTTTACAGCATATTATTTTACACAGAAACACGGTGCATGTACAGGGCTACTCAGTCACCTTTGGAGAATAACTTCCTTGAATTAAATAAAATCATATAGGTACCTGCAAGGCGGCTTTTTGACAATGCGGCATGACAGCCAATGCTCCAGTCAAACGTGTGGTGCTGGGCGTCAGCAACAGAAAACATATAATCATTTCCCTTATTTTTACACACCCCCCCCTTTTTTTTAAACATGACAAGCATCTATGAGACCTACATAACTCCAGTGAATTATGCAGCCCCTCTCATTTGTAAAATAAAATGCATGTTTTTACAGCTTGCTGTGCCAGATCTTCTCCCATTTCTCCATAAGTGCATCTGTGCAGGGATCAATTGATTACAGGACTAAACGAGCAATGCACAGAAAATGAGAATCTTGGGTTTCTTGCCTCTTTTTTTTCCTGAGCTCAAAATAATAAGCATTAATTTTACACTTCATTTCTCAAAAAAATAATAGGATGTGCTCTTGTTTAAAACAAGCAGGCCTGCTGGATTCTGTCAGGCTGAAACTATGTCAGGCCAAAAGAGGAACAGAGCGCTTTGTGTAAAAGTATCATGGGGAGATGATAGTATCCTGTAATGTTTCCAGTACCTACTTTTGTCTCCAAAAGCATTTGATCCCTGGCAGACACATACTTATTTCCATACTGGTCTTGAGGGAAGCTGGTAGGAACGAGAGCTGATTATCTGAATCCTGAAGGTGAAACCTGGGTGGTGCCCACTGATGTCAAAGGCAGGCATTTGTATAAATTTGGAGGTACATAATTTACTGCCTGTTAGTGAGGATTAGCGGGTTGCGCAGATGAACCGCAGTGGCAAAGCGCATCGCTCATTGTTCCCAAGTTCAGATGCGTTTACAGGATAGTTTTAAATATGTTGACAGGGTGCTTAGTAGCACTTACACTGCCACTCTGCCCGTTTTAGAGTGGGAATATGCTTCTCCATAAAGCCATCTCTGCTGCAGCAATGTGCATTTAATACATATTACAATGAGTCTCTAAGCCTCTAAGAGAACCGACACCAGCAGCCTCCTGGCGAGGATGCAGTATAATTAATAACGCTGTATTAAACCCATGTACTGTATCAGCTGCATTTCTAATTATAACTATATTAATGGCAATATAAAAGTATGCATTAACACTGTCGTGTGCCAACATGTTATCGCACCAATAACAAATAGGAGATTTGAACAATAAAAATCAAGATGGCATTGTCTTTACTGTTAGTTAAAACTTTCTCTTCAACTTGATTTAATAAAGCAAAATTTTCCCTTATGGAGTAACCGCAATAGTCCTAATTTGAGAAACTGCGTAAGACAATCTCGTACTATAGCTACCCAGACCAGTATATTTCTACTCCACTGCAGCAAATTAAGGCAATAAAGGGGAATATCTTTCCTGTACTCAGCTGTACACATCCATGAGTTAACTGCACTTTTAATGAACTTTGAAATACTGTAATTCAGTGTAACAAAGCAATAATATACTGTGTTCACAGAGAACCTTCTCCTGTCCATTAAATCATAAATCTGGTAGAATTAAATGGGCCATGTAAGGAGTGCTCTAATTATAATAGAAATAAATAGAAATTGGAATGAACACAGGGAAATAAAATGAAAACTGTATGGAACTATTCTGCTTATGCAATTCATTTCCCAGTAAATAAGTAAGCAAAGGGAAAAATTCATAACATAAGAAAAGCAGGAGCTTCCCCGGTAATTTTTTCCAC